TTATCATAAAGTAGCCAAACCAGGTTACTTACACACCGTCAATTTTTTGTCGACGTGACTTGTTGGCACTGGTCGATGATTGTGTTACGTTCGATGAGTGCATCGTTGTTCAATCGTCCTAGCAGATTAGGGGATTAAAATACTTGCACCTACATCATTCCGGAATATCAAGGATGAAAGCTCTGACCAAGAGTTACGTATGGTTGGTGACATTCGATTCCGGAGTTGCCTGCCACTGCGATTTCCATAGGACGCCTGCGCATACAGAGAGACCATGGATGGCTTGCGCTATACCACGCACACACCCCATATCGAGTGTAAACCCTACGGAATAAGACCGGACTACATGTGGACGGGAGTCACGTTTCCATCGCGACAAGAATGGATCTTAGCGTAGTGCGATGGTTTGCGTGTCTCGGCCATCCATGAAGCGATGCTGGGAGGTGCATATTTGTACCTTAAGCGCCACCCATACCAGCAGCATTCTTGTTTGTCTAACCGGGGAGTCAAACGTACCAAACGTACACAAGGCGATGGCTGGACCGTAGCCCGTTCCACACTGCATGCATGGAAACACGGTGCACCCCCTCTCTCAAGCAACGATCAAGTGTTCTCCAAAGCCAGTACAACAGAGGTAGTGGTGTTTTGACAGGCAGACATCTTGTCCACATTCACATCAAGCGCAACCACATCGGGGGTATCAAACAATTACAAAAATAAAAAATAAACACACCAACTGGACAGTAAATGTGCGGCAGTATAAAAGAACAGAGCAACCAAAATGTCCATTAAGTCTGCTCTACTATAAGGGCAAGTGTAAGTTAGAGGAGATCAGTCGACGAACACCGAACAAGACAGGAAAAACGTGCAAAAAATAAAAAGAGCATTTACAGAGGATCAACAGAACTGAGCAAATAAAATAAACTGAAAGTCATGGGGGCGGAACCCGGCAGGCGTCCGCTGGGAGGCGCATCACTGACGAGACCCATAAGGTCGAAACGCCGGCGTCTGGTGCATTTCCAGACTAGCCTAAGCCTGCTGATTGGGAGTGACGATGATGAATTATACCAAATTCCTCACTACTACTCACCAGTACTATAAAATCTGTCCGTATAGCTTCTAAGTCCCATGTGGTACATAGGCGCTATGCGGTAAGTCCTAGCTCGTGAGGCCAGCCACTGTCCTCTGTACAGTTCGTAACTGGTATGGCAGTGGAAGATGAGCCGGGCTATCTCGTAGTCAATTGTCAATCACACAGGTCCGCGGCTGTCACCCATGGCGAAGTGGCACTAGCTGCTGGCATCCTGAAGTCATGGGGGCGGAACCCGGCATGGGTCCGCTGAGAAGCGTACCACTAAGGAGACCCAGAAGGTCGAAACGCCGGCGTCTGGTGCTTTTCCAGACTAGCCTAAGCCTGCTAATTGGGAGTGACGTGTAAAGCAGCAGCGACATAAACAAGAGATATATGGACGATTAACAGAAATGAGCGAATAAAATAAAAATGGATTCAGTCAGATTTGGTGTAATGCGGAACAACCGTAAGTGTAAGTCAATAAAGCACAATTGAAGTGAAGAAACATCAAACTCAGTAGGATGAGACGTGTACTGCTTTTTTACTGGCAGTGTCATCCAGGAGTATTTCGTCACATGTAGCAAATGCACTTCAGCAGCCAAGTTTCCGGACAAAATCATCCAACTCAGGATGTCATTTTCTAAGCCTTGGGAGATAATTCAGGTTGATTTCGCAGGTCTAGTGATTCTCAATTTCGGTTGATGGGTACACCAAGCGGCCGGAAATGCACCTGATGAATGCGAGCACGACAGTGGCCACAGCATGAAAATCACAGAAGTTATTTGCACTGCTCGGTTTAATGGACCCTTTGGTTCCCGATAACGGTACACAATCTATCCTATGGATTTAATGCTTTATGTTCTCGTAATGGCAACAACTACTGCCTGTCGCCTCCAAAGCATGTCTAGTTCAAAGGACAAGCAGATAGTTTCAAGCAATCACTTCTAAAACTGCTGGGGAAGGGTTGACAAAGGAGATCAGACAGCTGTTCGCATCTTACGTCCAACCGCGCTGCATCGGATCCCCAGCGAAAGCTATGTTCGGACATTAAACACGCCTACCAATATATGGAATACGGCCGAAAATTGCCCAACGACCACTAGTACCTAGTGTCAGCAGGAGTTTTCTTCCATGAGCGACGATGTACGCAATGGATACAAAACCGAACCATCAAACCTGGTGACCTGTAGTCGTACGAAGTAGGAAAGGCATTGCGCTGTACAAGAAATCCATGGGACAATTTGGCACATCAACTAACAATGCAAACGACGGATAAAACACACAACATTTTCCACTTCCGAGTTGCCGTTAGATGTACTGCTGTAAATGTGGAGCTCAGTGAGCCGATCGAAGCGCGTATGAAGCCATGGCATGGAATCATTCGGTGATCCATGCCGTTAGCTTAATCGATCCGATGTTTGCAGGTGAACTCTACAATTCATTCCTACGAGCCAGAAGAACAGCGTGCTTTTGAAGAGGGGAAGGTTAGGCCAGGCAATCTGGTGTTTCTGAAGCACAACATCATAACATGGCCCTGGTTATGAACTTCACTCTCACCTACTACTCTACTGCGGTCCAGGTGTTTGCCGCTTGTCAAGTGACGTGGCCTGTCTGACACACGCTCCCCTACTTTAGATGGTCGACTGCCTTACCTGTTTCGTATGATTTGACGTTTGGTTGATGCGAAGTCCGATGTGGTGAGGTTCTGACGGCTCGACATGAACTCAACAACAGCTCGAAATCGAGACTAACAGAGATCCATTGCCATTGAGTAGGGAGAAAACTTCGAAAGCGTTTCTTAGGCTATCGAGTTTCAACAGTGTCTGCACATAATAAGGTTTACTACATATAAACTGACCCCCACTACCGATAGCAGAGAAAAGATGCTTCATTCACATGAGGACATTTAGATTTCGAAACCAGCTGAGGTCGAACGAGAGTGAGGTGAAGACGTAACAGGGAGAGCAAAAGCGACGTGAGGGAAGAGTGGATATTCGAATGAACTTTGCCTCAGCCTTCTTAACAGATTTAAATCAGAGCCTTAGGGACACGTTGAATGCCCTGTCCAGAACGGTCCCAGTAAGCTTTTAGTACAGAAAATGTGTATATGTACGTATGAATAGAAATTCATGTTCAAATTTTGTGAACAAATGTAAACATAATCGCATCCGCATAATCACCACTTAAAGATGAAGCTCTTCTGTTTATGTTAAGAAAGCTAGTACATCACCAGAGACACAATAATCTTTTGGATTAAAATTCTGGTTTGTTTACGAAAGGGTTAACCATGAGACCAACCGGTGCGATGAGGACACGTGGTCACCCTAACTGTCGTATCGGATTGAAAGGTCAAGAAAATTGGTCACGAGAGATCAATCTAGGCCAAGGACTAACGGGTCGATGGTTGTGAAACTTAGGGGGAGTGCAGTTCTGCAAGTAGATCCGATCGCTTAATTCGCTGAGGTGCATTGGACTAACCGATGTTGGACACCTCGACAACACACAAACTGACTTGGTCTCAGCCATCCTAGAAGAATGAGTCTATCCATATGAAACATAAACCGCGAGGATGCGGGTACAATCCCCAAATCTATCAGGTAGAGTTGATCTCGGGAACTACACGTGGAATGTTACCACCGAAGACAAAACGTGTCTTGTGTCTGGCTGTGCTTATCGTCGGCAGAATCATTTACTTGACATCATTTATGGTTTAGGTAAGCGAACTCATTGGATCTAACAGTGTGCGTGCATGCACAACGAAAAGAAATGCCTGGCCAGAAAATGCGACAAATGCACTCTGGAAAATAATCCCCATGATAACAGCGGAAACTCAGTCGGTAGTTCTAAGGTTTCAGCTTTTCCAGAAACAGCGGCAAACTTGTTGCGTCATCAACCACCTTAGTCATAAACCAACTGGGTGCAATATAGCCGCGACGTGTGCCAAGTCCCGGGTTGAAAGCAAATCACGAGAAGAAACAAAACCCTAGCACCCGCGTTGCCAATGATGAAGATGACAACAATTCCTTGGGCGGCTCTTGGTATCTCTCATATGCATCAAAGACCATGGATGTTGCCCGCTGAACACTGGGAACCTCAGATTCGGAGATAACGAATCGAATGAAATGAACAAAATATTCGACGCCAACTTCACATCGTAAATTCGGTGCACATCATGTATCGATCTTCGTGCTACCACACAGCTGCTATTCGTGAACGGAACTCCGAGGTCAATACCGTTATGATTAATTCCGAATGTCATTCAAGCTACCGATGGAGATCACCATGTGAATGTGTGAAAAATAATGTCAGGAACCAGAATGAACACCGGTGCTCATCAAATCTTTCGCATGAGAATGGGTTAAAAGAGAGTAACAAATCCGTCCAAAACACCGATAGCTGGAACTATATATAGTTGTGAGTAATATCATGGAGGCCGTTACGTGACAGCATTCCAACTGTCTCTAGACACCTAACAGGTTTAGTTGGGATATTATAGTAAGCAAAGAATACGACATGCAGGTAAATGCACCGTTGCTTTTACTTGCCAGATATGCAAGAAACATTATCGATGAGAAATTTGTTACCGAAAAAGCCTTTAGAAGAACTTGTATTTTAGTAAGGGTTGACGGTGGAGAAAAAAGAATCAATATGGTAGAATGGCTCTCGCTCAAATGAGCAGCTGGAAAGGCATTTCACTAATAGTTAGCCTAATGCTTAGTACTCTCTAGACGAAAGAGAAGGTAGCCAAGGTCTCGATTCAAGTAGTTATATGCAGTGAGCAGCGCAAATGATTGTAGAGAGCTTCTGCCTGTCAAACCGAGTGAATGAAAACGTACACTTATATTAGTGTCAGGTACCGAATAATATTCAGGAAAGCAGACATCAATGATAGGATGAGAAAATGATAGCGAGACTCCCTTGTACGTACCCCGAATGGGCCACGAGGTTCCAACTCCCCCCTATCCAACTCAATGCTTAACAATCTGTCCACATTCAGATCAAAAGAGAAAGCAGAGTTAACGGGTTCCACGTCTTCGAAACCAGTGGAATTAGTTACTGGTTGTTCGACATCGCCGTGTACCGATCCGTCTTCGTCACTCTCTGATTCGCCAGTCCCTAGCGTGTGTACTATTTCACTGCCCAATGGAACATAGTTCACAAAGTCGGGCACATTTTCCGAATCAGATAAATCAGGTTGCCAATGAGGAGAGTCGGATTCGAAAAAGGAAACAGGTGCATCATCTTTTGTGAGGGGCGAATCACCCAGCTGTTCCAAAATCATGAGTCAGTTTCAGCTTCACTAGAACGAAGACGGCACAAGTGTTAGTGGCAGGAGCAAAGAACGAATCTGTAGGTAGAAAAATGAATACCGAAACAATAGTCTTTATATTCTATGCTATGAAAATGCACAGAAAAAAGCTTGTCTGGAATCCTAAGTTGAGCGTGATAACGTAGTCGCATCCACCTCGGTTTCGGGAGTGTCAAAAGTGTAAGAATTAAAAATATCGTAGAAAAGAGGACGACATTCGACCACGGCTCGCAGCTTGCCACAGAGCAGAAAACATCCTGACAACTTTCGATGCAAAGAATAACTTTCATCCGGCGGAGGAGTCAGGCGGTGTTCCATCATAATTGGGATAAGTCGATTCAAACGTCGTGTTGTCGACTGACGACCGAAATCAAACGGTTTAATAGAAGAGAATGCCTCGCCCAATATGCTCACTGCATCCACGTGTGCGTCGACCATAACCTGTAAATGCATAATCCAAGGTAAACGCCTCGATTAATGAAGACCAATAGTAACGAATAAATAAAACGGTTGACAGATTTTCTTAAACAGATGCTGTTAATCACTGTGTAACCGTCCATTAGTTGCCGGTGAGTAAGCGATCGTCAGGTTGCTGGAAAAAAGTGCAAAGTGGTGGAGTGTGGTTTTACTGATATCAGGATGAACACTATTTCAATGACCCCCCCCCCAAAAAGAACATATTACCAAGCTAGTTAGGTTCGCCAAAGGAGTGGGGTAACTCGGAGAGGCCAAGGGTTAAAAATTAGCGATATTACAAAATCCATACAGAAGCTTGGTTTGAAATCATTCGGTAAGCCCTACAAACGGAAGACGTAGCGATGACCCTGACCCGTTGGAAATGTGAACGAACTTGCGTGGAACTACTGTCGAGAGCGAAAATGGCAGCAAAATTACAAGATAACGACATAAGTCATGTAGGATGAAGTTGTGAAAGAAACAAAAGTTCAATGGAGATCAACAGCACTATGGTGTCAATTGAATAACGGATATTACAGATATCGTCACGAAAACCGGGAATTAAGTAGAGGGGATAACGCAACAAAAACCAAAGCAGGGGGACCAATGTTACGATGATTTGGAAGAGGGAGAAATATATTGATGACAGCAGAGATGGACTTAAAGTTCCGTGTAACAAGAGCTAAGGAAACAATGAGACAAGCCTAAAACCAATTCACGGATAAAGACGAATAGAAATGATACGGATGAGCGCATTAGATTCCAAACTCAACGACCTCATATGCCTAAGGCTTAGAATCCAAACATATCCCACAACGTTCTTAAACACCATGAAGTACATCGCGAACGGGATAGTGTATGCTGCATGAAAGAAGATACAAAGATAAGATTTTAGTGTTTATGATCGGAATTTCGAATTTCGCCAAGAATTACAGTTTTCAGCAACCCTGACATGTCAAGTATGTCATGTTTTATGTCAGTTGTCCCTATTTCTAAGCGATGTACGGTATAATCAATTGCAACGTGATCAAAAACCGCCTGAACATACCTTTGTCTCGTATCCGGTGAGAAAACCAAGCTTCTGCGAGTATTCGAGTATGCCATCGCGGTTTCCTTCGGCAGCAGCATGAATGAGCCGGATGTATACGTCCACAAACTTTTTATCGTAATCTCTAGAGGCGCCGAAATCCAGGATGACTAGCTGAATAGGAGAAAGACGGAAGTGTATTGCACCAGCAATGAGGTGCAACAAGTTAGTGAAAGAGGAAATGGATGTCGAAAAGGAGTGCCGTAAAGAATTGCAAGGCCATGAAGATTGAAGCCTTACTGAGCTTAACGGATGAAGGAAACTGGAGTGGTTCAATTGAAGCAGTACTCTGCGGAGTGAGATGCACATACTAAGCGAGTATATTTGAGTCGAAAAAGCACTGAACACTCCGGAAATGTACAACGATATCGATACGACTATCGTCGCAACAAAAACTACGGACAATGGTGTGCATTTAACCTCGGCAAAAGCTCCGGTTCTGTTGAATAAAATCAAATAATCTCATAGTAGACACTATTTTAAAGAGAAACACACTACCGCGTTATGTGATAGATGTGGCGCGGATTCAGTAGACAAAAGTTGGAGTTAAACCAATCGGTTCATCGAGTGATCACCCTGGGACCCATTACAACCTGACGCAAGCATGAAGCATGTGCAAAGTTTGGTCAAACCAGCGTGAGTTGTTCGAGCTCAAGGAAAGGTTTCGTGCTATGCATGGACAAGTGAGAACCCACTCTCCAAGTGGTGGTTCAGTTGAGCTCAACAGAACAGCTGTGATCCGAGCACTGGAGTGCAATGGATCCAACTGTCACCCCCAGCGCCATGGGGATACGATTAAGTAACAAGGATGAGAAAAAGGAAGTAGAAGGCAGAGAAGGTACATGGAGAAGGAGGTTAAGAAAACAAGCACAATTACCTCAGGTGGACTAGATGCAAGAAACCGAATGTAGGAGCGTCTCTAGCTGCGCGAATGTACCGACAAGTAAATGCGCAAGAATTGGATAAACGCCGGAGCAAACAGTTTGTTGGTATAGATGGGCTCAAAGAAAACATAAGTGAAAAAGGTGAATCTTAGGGAAGCTTTGCCAGCTTAACAGGTATAGAGCGCATTCATCACAGCTTAAGCCATATGCGAAGCAAAGAATACTAACCTTCCCGGTACTCGGATTGTACAAGAAATTCGACCAATTTGGATCCGACTGCATCACGCGAAATACAAACACTTCTTTGAGGCAGAGTCGAAGAAGCTGTTGGCCAATCTAATGAAATCGGAAAACAGTAAATGAGAAGTTAGGAACTCTGCGACAGGATTGGCGAAAGCGACAGTCCTAGAAAAAATGCGAAAATTGATGTAAACTTGAATGAAAGATGATATACATGTTCTATTCATCAACGCCATCATCATCATCAATACACGTTAGTTGAGGGTGAGAAACACACCTCAGCTAATGTGCCACAATACAAAAAGGTAAGATATAAAAAAGTTACACTATAAAAATATTCAAAAGCAAGTAAGGTAATATTAAACATTATATGTAATTCGTACGAGATCGGATTTGGAGGGGGATGAACAAAGAAACTCAAAACACAAACGCCGTTAAGGTCGCTCTTCGCCATATCAGCAAGTGTCCAAGAAAACTTACTCATCGTCCTTAGAACCCCAGCTAGGCAGTCGCGATGCACCGACCGACGCCAACTTCGAAGTGAGGGTTTTCATTTCTCTCGACCAAATTATCGCTTGGCCTCCCCTCCTCCTCTTCCAACTGCACCCCCGGCGCGCAAACAGTGCACGTCGCAGGAGTCGGTGTGCTGATATGAGCGCAAAACGTGGACCAGCCAGCGGAGCCTGGTGCGTGATATCACACTTACTTTACTGCGGCTAGCTCCTGAGACAGGATGAGCCGGCTTCATGTATGTCGCGGATTGCAGCTGCCCAAGCGCGGCGGTCGGCGGCAAGCTGCACAGATACTGATCCAATAATTCCCCTAGTGACGAGCACCATGCACAACATGGAGTCCCAGAAGATCGACATCCGATTTCACTGCAGCCAGTCGCGTTTTCAATTGTTCACCACGGCGACGACCCCAACCCTGGCAAGACGAGGGTGAAACCACGGTCCTAGTGAAGTCAGTGTCTAGTCTGCAGAGGACATGACCGAACCACTGAAGTCTGCAGCGTTGGATGAGCGCTGAGACCTTCGGAACACCGTAACAGCGCTTCCGGATTTCGTTATTAGTGATACGCTCATGCCACTGCGTTTTCAAGATAAGCCTTAGACAACAATGGCCAAAGACTTTCAGCTTCCGGGTGTCCTCGGATCGCAGCGGCCATGTTTCGCGACCATGGAGTAAAATGGCACGAATGGTTGCAGAGAATACTCGAATCTTCGTTCTGACTAATTTTAGTCCTTCGCCACGACGTGTTTCTAAGTTGTAAGAAGGCTGTTCTAGCGCTGTCAATAAGATTCCGGATCTCCGATGTAGCCAGACCATTGGGGAGTATAGTGGATTCAAGATATTTGAACTCAGGACCAGATTCGAGGAGCTGCCCATGTAAGGAAAGCGACGGGGCGGACTGGGTGGCTAATGATGAGAAGTACTTCGTTTTGCTGATGTTAATTTCGAGGCTGATCACAGAGGCTGACTGGTCGACCCGATTTAGCAGTGATTGTAGTGAGATAGCGCTTTCGCAAGGATAGTGATATCGTCAGCAAATTCTAGATTTGACAGGGAGAAGTCAGGGCTACCTGGAAAACCACGATAGCCCTCAAGGGCATGATGCATAACCCAGTCGACTGTGAAGTTGAACATCACTGGAGAAAGTCGACAAACCTGCCGGATACCAGTATTGATGTTGAATTCGTTTGTTTCTTCTCCATAGACCCGAATCCAGGCCTTCGTGCAACGGTATTATGATCTCATCAACTTAAGGAGTATAACCGAGAAGCCATCGACAAGAAGGATTCCCCGGAGTGCTTCACGGTCAACTGAGTCAAAGTCAGTTCGAAAAGCAACGAAGCACACAAACGTGGGCTGCTGGAACTGGTACCGGTGTTCGAGTACCCGAAGTAGAGTGAAAATTTAGTCAGTACAGCATCTGCCTGGACGAAAGCCACCTTGGTCATGGCGAATTTACAGGTTTCTCTCATTGACCAAAAGGGAAAGCAAGGTTCGTGCGAAGGTTTTGGCAGCCACATTGATTACGTTAATCCCGCGATAATTACTGCACACATTTCGGTTACCTTTCTTGGGAAATGGCAGTAGTAATGAGGTACTCCACGAGTAGGGACAAATTTCGGTCTCCCATATCAAACAGAAGGGCTCGTGCAAATGGCCAAGGAGCTGGCAGACAATATTTGTAGATTTCGGCTGGCGACGAATGACGTCTGCAAGCTCTGTGGGAGATGGCGGTAAGCAATCCACGTCATATCCTGACTGGGTTAATGCTAAAATGAGTGCGGTGGTGTGCAGTGGACGGTTTAGGTTGCTAAATTACTCTAACCGTCTGGAAGGTTTTCCTTCCGTATCTGGGATGATGTGGTCTTCCGAAATGCGCAATATCAGTTGTGGTGTATAGCGCTTGCCAGAAGCTAAACGAACGAGGCGAAACAGATGACCCAAATTGCCAGAATTTGATACAGCTTTCGTGTTGCCTGCGATAACAGATCGGCAGCGGTTGCGATCATTCCGTGCTGAGCGGGTTGCCTCAGGTCTCAAGCGATGGTACTTTGGGGAATTCGTGAGACGTGCTTCTCCCGCTTTAGCGGATAACCGAAGAGTATCTTCAGTGATCCAGTCCTTCACAGGCTTAGAGATAGAGCCCAGGGTAGGCAAAGCGGCGCGTTGAACTGACGATGTTAGTTTAGAACAACGAACGTCGACAGATACATCTTTTGCAAGTAAGAGGCGTGGTGCACTGGCAGAAATTTCTGTTTCTATTGCTGCCCCAAGGGATCGGTAGCAGACAATAGTTTCAAGTGGGGAAGTATTTATACGCTTTGGTGGAAGTCTTCCGGTGCGTTGTCAGGCGGAAGCTGAATTTGGCGAGCAGGAGTATGTGGTCCCAACCACTTTTATTGCCCGTTTCAGCCCCTCTGTACGCTCGACAATCATCGATGGAGGACATCCGCCGGGATCGGATTAAGATGTAATCTACCTTGCTTGTTTTAAGACCATCGTTGGAGTACCGCGTTCGAAGACGCCTCCTGGGATGCTGGAAGCGAGTATTGTTTACGCACCACCGGTTGGGGTCAGCGAAGCTGAACAAGCGATCTCCATTATCACAGCGCTCTCCAAGGGCACATCTCCCAAGTATGTGACGGGTCGAATCGTTCCTAGGCCCCGTTCGTGTATTCCAGTTCCCAGTAATAAAGAGGTCGCGTTTTGGAACATGGTTCACCACTGTGTATAGAGTATCGTACAATACATCTTTGTCACTCACTGCTGAGGGTAGGGTTGGTGCGTACACAGGGATTATGGGCAGATCCAGCGGGTGTACTTGGAAACGTGCAACTGCTATTCTAGGTGATACTAGTTTCCATTAAAAAAGTGTTGTGTGCTTAGCAACTAAGAGTCATGGCGACCCCACAATGGCCAGAATTATCTTCCGGCCCACTGTGGTAAAGCCAATATGAGGTGTCTACACCAGGGATTTGGATTTGTCGTGAGCCATAGCCGGGCATCCGAGATTCTGGCAGGCATATTATGTCAATCTGGTAGTCAACACTTGGCTGCCGACATCCAACAGGGTTCTGGTATTCCAGCATCCAATGAATAGTGGCTTCCGGGGATTGAGGGACCCAACTAGCTTACTAGTCACTCAGGCCACTGGGTTATTGCACAGCGTGTCACCTACCGGAAACGCCGGAGCATGAGAAGAATCGTGGGTAACGGACATGCCATTAAGTTTCGTGGAGATTATGGGTACGTATGAGGACTCCAACCTCACCCAACTTTTGTTCGAGGGTTCATCTCAGCCATTAACACAGCTAAGTGTTACCTGCAAGGTGGCAGTGATCTGGAAAATTGTCTTAACTTCTAAGCATTGGATCAGGGGTCGATCTTTTCCGCCCAGTTGTCAGGACTGACGTTGCACGCGGGTTCGAACTCACCGAGAATAGCGTTCACGGCTACCCTCACCTGGTTTAGACGTCTGCCTGACGAATGACTGGGTGCAGCCACTGCGGCGTGCAAGCAGCTTCTTGGAGCTACAGGTGAAAGCTGGGTGACAGGTGGAGACCAAAGATAGGCGGACTACCCCGGACGGTAAGGCAGATCCCCTACCAGAGGAGCCACTCCTCCCTGGCATCCCGTGATATCATGGTGCTGAACGATCCATTAGCTCTTCCTGCACCAAATACGCGACGCCGAATCCGCTCATTGCTCACGCGGTGTTCCCAGCGGACACGAGCTAAGCTGCGAAGACAGCGATGGTCGAACGTGAATAGTCACTTGATGTCTGTCGACCTGATAGGCCAGATTTCACAACCGTATAAGAGGGTTGAACGGACGGCTGCATTATAAATTCTGCCCTTCAGGGCGACAGTAATGTCGTGTCTGCGCCACAGGTGGTGGAGATTGACAAAAGCAACTCGAGCTTTTGCTATACGGTTCGTAACCTCATCTTGGATTACTCGGGCGCTAATATAGTTGCCCAGGTACTTGAATCCCTGAACGACTTCTAGCTGATCACCACCAAGGGTAAGCGCAGGGATGGGTTCCTGCCAATCACGAAAAACGTCTTCTATTAGCGACAACAACTTGAAATCACATAAGAAGCATTATGGAAGCGCAAGTAGTCAGAGACCTGAATTAAGCATATTTACCGTACGAACATGTGAGGTGGTTTGGGAAACGTAAAGTGAAGGTCATGAAAACACTTTGTATCTACTATTTAACTCATGCCCATGGCGGCGCGTAGTGGTAAAACATTTCTCGAAGTCTACAGGCCGCCTCAATGAGAGGTTCATCCATGTCATGCCGAGGGCGCCAGTGCGCATCTTAATGGAACATTGCAAAAGCCCTAGAAATTCCACGCGATGCACAAATACAACGAGCGGAAAAGGAGTATATTTCCTATTCCTATAGCACTCCATGTGACTGCTTGTGCTTTAATAACCATGCACACAAGTGGAAACGATGATGACAGGACAGACAAGCTGATGGGATGGAAGTGTTGCGAAAAGCATGGCACAAATGGCTGGTTACGCAGATGAGCGAGTTTCGTAAGGAGAATGTACACGTTACAAAGTCGACCTGATGTGACGTAAGGAACGAACGCCGGTAACTCAACAAGGGTAAACAGTAGTAAGAGAACTGAGAAAGAACTGCCCCAATCCAATGAAGTGAACTAGGATGAAGCGGTGAAATTGATTCCCTGGGTAGTTGGCGCATCCGAAACAAATATTAATACAGCCGCGTAGGTAGGTTCCTGAGCTCAGTAAATCAGCGCTTGTTTTGCTGGGTGCCTCAATAAACCAACTGAATCATCGTCTGTGACCAATCAAACACAGCACGGTGGTCTATCAACCAGTAAAAGAGAATCATACTGGAATCCGACACACTGAAACATCAAGATGCGAAGAGCAAAGGAGTGTGACATAAAGTCCAAAAGTGCTGACTTCTCCATGATAAGAATCCATAAAAACAGCTCACAACACGGCTTCCTAAGTTCGTAATCCAGTATATTATGTCAGCTTGATTTCCTCAATTTCCTGATTAATTCAGTTGAGTACAGTTCATCAGTTAGAGTTGTCCACCTCAACATGCAAAGGCATTTGATTGTGTCATCAATGATCGGTGCTTTCATGGTTCGATTCCTACCTCACCAACAGAACCCATATAGACAAGGTCCAAAATAAAACGGGTGCAAATAAGGCAGGCACGAGTGGCGCGAGATACAAGGTAGTAGTGCTCTGAGCCCTTTAGCATTATTTCTATTAAATCTGAATGACATTCTCGACATCACTGTTTTCGAAAAGTCATTCCTATTCACTGATGGCACAAAGAATGTTCACATTGTTAAGTCCAATGTGAAGTCAGACCGAGATCGCTTACGATTGGTAGTGAGCCACTGTTCCACTGCCAAACTATCCGCGACTTGGGGATACACTACGCAAATACCCTAAATTGTGATGAGCATGAGGGACATATTGTACCTTAAGCTCAGAGTAGCTTCCAGTTTATCTTCAAAACGTCCAGTAGCGGTATGTACAGACTGTAAACGTGTTCATTACCAGACAATACTCCATGATCTACTGGGATTCTGTTAGGAGCACCTCCTAAGAAATGGATCAGTGAACTATACATGGACTGAAATCCAAACATATTGAAAACAGTTAGTAGAAAATTGCACTGGCCGATAGAAAGAATGTTCTCGGACAATCTGATAGTATTATTTGGAAGTAAAGAACAGAACAAAAAACACTTGGAATATACTTGGAACCGATCGAGAAGTCACAGTTTCAGAGAGATTTGTGAACAATCTGTGCCAATTAAATAGACCAGTCAGTGTCCACAAATCTTTCACAAACCAATAAATCACAAAATATTCAAGTCACCAAAAACGCATAAATAGCGTCAGTCTGTGGCATGCAAATGTCTTGCAGTTGGTAACCACTGAAACGACGATCAAAACATTGTTTTTGGTCACCCAATCGGAGCGGTCATGTTCCAAAACAGCCAATTAGAGTGACACGCCAGTGGATATTCGTCCAAGTGTTGCCTAGGACATTCCACTATAATATCATATAGGGATCGATACATCACCCTAAAACTTGATCCGTAAGGGCTGCGCTTCGCGGTCTCTGAAACTTATCGATGATCGCCGGCACATTCCGACTGGAAGCGAACACAATGAGACTTGCAAAAAACCGGGCGAAACTCCGTGTTAGCCTGAAGAGAGACCGCGAATTCTGGTGGTCTCATTGTGCTTCAGATATGGAAATAGCCGCTGCCCTTGGTAACCATCGTAAGTTATTCCGGCTGATACGGGAATCAGACAGCAGGAAACCTGGTGTTAGTGAAACGATTTGTGACGAGAGTGGACAGCCTATCCACAACTTATCAAAATGTTTAATGTGTTGGGCTAAGCACTTTGAAAAGCGATTTAATCGGTAGGAATAGTTAGATTGCTCACCGGCCAGTGATCGCCCTACTCCGTGGGCTGTCCCTTTGGATCCGCCCTCTCGCTCAGAAGTCGAAGATGAGATTGGACTGCTGAAGTTTAACAAGGCCGCGGGACCAGATGCTCTTCAGTCAGCCCTCTTCAAATCCGCGGGACATGCTCTGGTGGATGATTTACATGAATCACTGGTGAAACTGTGGAAGCAGGAAATCGTCCTAATCGATTGGAGCCACTCCGTTATTGTTTCCATCCTCAAAGAAGGATCGCATTCAGAATGCGGCAACCACAGAGGAGTCAGTCGGATCCCCGTCGCCTCCAAATTACTTGTCACTGTAATCCTTCACAGACTGACGGGCACTCTTGAAAGTCAGATTTTTGAGGAGCAAGCCGGGTTTCGTCAGGGTCGTTGCTGCATTGACCATATCTGCACCTTGCGTCAGTTGTTAGAGCACCGTCACACATATTGGCGGCCCACCGTAGTCGTGTTCCTCGACATCAAAGGTGCCTTCGATTCGGTTGATCGATGTACCCTTTGGAATTGTCTACTCAGGAAGGGTGTGCTCGAAAATATATGAATATTATCCGAGCATTAGACGCGCGTAGCTAGGGTAGAGTGAGGACTTACGGCCATCTGTCGTCGCCCTTCAGTATCTCCAGTGGTGTGTGACAAGGATGTGCGCTGTCACCTTTTTTCTTCAAATTCGCTATTGACGAACTCATGGAGGTTGCATTCACGGAACACGACTTAGAAGGTATGGAGCTACTCCCAGAAGGACTTCTTGACTTGGAGTTTGCTGACGATATGGTCCTTAGCTGTGACAGCTCCCAGACGTGCGAAGCTGCAATGAACAGAGCAGTACTGACTGTCAACCACTCCTGGCTTTGATTCATATCATCGAAGTGCAAAGCCTTCCTCCAAGATTGGCAGGGATCGCCTCCTGCGCGGACCCTTGGTGAAGATCAGCTATAAGTCGTTCAGAAATTCAACTACCTGGGAAGTTGTATCAGCGCTCGCGGGACTGAAGATGAGATCACGAACCGTATAGCAAAAGCTTCAAGTGCTTTTGCTAGCTTTCGCCACTTACGGCACCGGCGCGACATCACCCTCGCCCTGAAGGGTAAAGTGCACAATGCAGCGGGACATTCGACCCTACTGTTATGCTGGGAAACCTGGCCCCTTAGATCGGCGGACATAAACAGGATAGTTAGGTTCGACCACCGGTGCCTTTTCAGTTCGGCTCACATCTGGTGGAAACACTGAGTAAGCAACGAGCGTGTTCGATGCCTTGTTTACGGCATAGAGAAAAGAAATGAACCGCTCAGCACCGGCATTTCATGCACCAGGCTCGGCCACGTGTTATGCATGCCAGCCCACCGGCTCCCGCGACGTGCGTTGTTTTCTCACCAGGGTGTGGATGGAAGAAGAGAAGTGGCCAAGCGATGAGTGGGTCGAGAAGAATGAAGGCTCTCACTTCGAAGCTGGCCTCAGTTGGAGCGTCTCGGCTCCCTGGTTGGGGTCCAAAAGATGATGAACACGTTTGGCTAGATACATTTGCTGAGATGGCTAGGAGCCGGCCTCAGTGGCGTTCCTGTTGTGAGTTTCTTTGTCCCGCCCCATCACTTTTAGTCTCCCCCTCCAAACACGATCTTATTTCGTAGCATAATATAATTTTACATAATAATTTTTTTTTGCCTAGAAGCCGGCTGGTAGCTTTCCGGAACGATGCCCATCCGCTGATGGTAGCTCAGTTGGCACGCAACTGCTGCGTTTTTTCTTTTATGTGTTGCGGCACAGGAGCTAAGGTGTGGTACACCTCTAGCTAACGTGCATAATGATGATGATGATAAAGCAGGTGAAAAAACTGCAATTTGATTTATACCTGCAAATGCAATTCTTGAAACTCTGAGAAACAAACAGTGTATAAACATTGAGATTCATTAACAAAAACCTAGATATAAGAGCCTACCGGTAGGTTGCTTGGTTCAGTGTGCGAATAACTCCCAACATAACGGATCGGAAGACTTCAAGTTCTCAACCAGTTGAGCACAAGTGACTCTGAGCTGTCAATCAGCAGATGTTAATGAGCTAAACAGGAAAGCAAACAATTTTTCCGGTCAAGGTATCAATAACATAACAGTACAATGTATTGATGCTTCAGTGCCAGGCAACAATGCATCGCAACAAAACTGGACCTTAACGCGATGCGACGGTTTGCGTACCTCCTTGACCCGTTGAGTTAAATTGGGTGGTGCCTCCGGGACCCTTGAGAACTACCTCTACCAGGTTGGTCAATGGTGAGATATCAGATAAACTCAGTCTCCTGGTCCTTCAGGTTAAGGTTTAAGATGGGATGACGTCCATTCCCGTAAAACTAAAGCATTGCCACCTCCCCGCTGCCTTGCGGCCAGGCTTTTGAGCCAAAGGCCTTGGTTGAAGAATATAATCTTCCTCCTGTCTAGCTCTGGGCGCCCTGGCAGTATCTCAGCCCACATGCAACCATGGCAATTTCCCCAAACGCTAACAATATCCTGCATCGGCCGTCGCGCAGACACGCAAAAACACCGCTACTGCTGGTGCCTCCATACTCTCCTTTCCAAATGTTTCCCTTATTCTCCTCTCGAACATCATTACTAACCTTCCTTCTATGATTCCCAGCTTAACTGACAACAATCGAAGTGACACTGGAGTAGCACCATCTGCAGCCACCTACCCGCAACACCCACCGGACGCCTATCGGCAACAGTCCTTTATAAGGCCACGCTCTCCCGTCTTCCCGGCGACGTTCAATGTTCGCACTCTAAGATAAATCGGTCAACAGGCTGTGCTCGCGCACAATTTAGACACACTGGGTATTGGCGTATGTTGCGTATCCGAAACTAGGATCAATGACCCTCAGGAGGTTGTCGAACTAACTGCGCTCGGCTTGTCCTATCGTTCCTGGTCGCACGCATCCGGAGGCGTTGATGCAGCACGCATGGGTCAAACCGGAGTAGGTATCATTCTCCGCTCTAAGGCTGAGCCATCGTTGGTTGAGTGGGTTCTGATGCAGCCCGTTTGACGACATCAACTAAGGTTGATTCACGAAGTAGTGCAATATGCTGTTTGTTTGTGATTTTCGCTTATGCTCCCACCGAGTGCAGTTCTGATGTTACCAAGAATACATTACATCACGAACTGAACGCCGTACTACACAGTGATACTAGTTCAGATACCATAGTAGTTGCAGGAGATATGAACGCACAAATAGGGCGTCTGAGCTATTCAGAAGCGCAGCTAGGTGGTAATAATGGGCTTAACTCCGAAAAGACTGACAACAGAGAGCCTCTATTGCAACTGGGTGCGGAGCATCAGTGGTTTCTTAGTAGCACCGCTTTTAAAGACAGTGGTCGTCGAAATGACACTTGGCGTCCTCCTGTAGCTGACCAACGATGGACCCAAATAGGTCACATTGCCATAAGTTACAAGTGGCGTGGTTCCATCCTGGATTGTCGCTCGTACTGGAATACTTGCATCGACTCAGATCATGCTTTGGTACGCCATCATTTCTCCATGAACTTTACCGGAAGATGCACCAAGCGTCTCTCCCGATTGGCAACTGAGAAATTTCCTCAGCCCTCGGTCGGACAAGCCCATCAAGCCGCTCTGCGTACCGAACTTTCGGTCTTGTTTTAATGATACCGAGTTTCAGTAGGATAGGATCTCGGCCGCCATGCAGGACGCAGGGGCATTTGCTTGTGACACTATCAATTGTCACAGCACCAGTAAGTGGATATCCGAGGTCAGTGAAACTGTTGGAATCCAGAAGAAGATTCCCGGTTGGCACTGAGTAGAATGCGACCAGACGGACTATTAGACGGGAACTAACGCGGAGCTTGCGTGCTGACAAGGAAGCCTGGTGGACCAGTCGGGCTCAGGAAATGAAGGAGGCGGAAGCAGTAGGGAACTATCACACCACCTGTCTCAGGAAACCAGGCGTCAGTGTGACAATCAGAGACAGCGCGGGTGCACTGATACACAATGAGTGCCATAAGGCTAGTTGGGCGGAACACTTTCAAGATTAGTTCAGTTGGTCCTCTTCCTACTCAGGTGATTCAGAACGAGCTATGGACGGTTAGTTTAGAGGCTCCATCCGAAACGCGATCACAGCCCTTCATCGTCTTCGTACTGCTGGCCCGGATTCCCTCTCACCTGCATTATTTAAGGATGGATGGGACGCCCTCTGCAAATAAAAGACCTCCCTATTTGAACATATCTGGAAGGAAATGACCCGGCAAACTGAAGCGAAGCGATTACAATGTCAATATACAAAAAGGGCAGTCGCAGAGACTGTTCTATTAGTCTAACGCCAGTTGTGACAAAATTACTGGCTTCGATTTGTGTTTTTCGCCTCACTGCGGAACGGAATCCCGGAATAGGAAAGAGCAGGCAGGTTTCCGCCCAGGAAGTGGTTGTATAGACTACATTTTCACTCGGCGGCAGATGCTAGAGCAGCGCCATGCACACCGCAGACCGACAACAGCTGTGTCCCTCGACTTCAAGGGTGCATTCGATTCAGTCGATTGATCGATTTTGTTCGAAATACTTGCGCGGAAAGGTGTTCCCACGAAATAGTTGAAGATCTTAGGTGCTTTATACGCGAACAACACTACACGCCGCTTCAGGGTCCAAGGTGACCTGTCAGACAGCTTTCCGACAACAAGTGGCGTTCGTCAGGGTTATCCGATTTCCCCGTTTTTGTTCAATTTCGTTGTGGACTCCATCACGGAGTGTTCCCTTAGGGAATAACACGACTTAAATGTTGAGATCCCGCCAGGTGAAACGTTATGCGGATGACAGCGTTTTGCTTTTTGACGAGGTTGCGGCAGCACAATTAACCCTGAATAGCGTCTCTAGAGTGGTCCCATTATTTGGTATGCGCTTCGCATCTTTAAATTGCAGTGTTACTGCAGGACTACCAGTCATTTTATGACCCGTTGACCCTGGACATCGAGGAACTCGAGGTGGTTGATCGATTTACTTATCTTGGTAGCTGCATCAGCAACGATGGGCAATAAGAAACTGAAGTCAGTTCACGCAATGCAAAAGTCAGAACTGCCTTCTTGAACCTGCGACATCTTTGACGACAGAAGGGAGTTTCCCTCCGTCCTGCTCTATGGGAGCGAGACGTGCCGGCTTCGGTTTGATGATCTGAGGCGCCTTCAAGTCTCTGATCATCGCTGTCTTCGGAGCATTGCTGGTTTCGGGTGGCATGGGCATGTCCGCAACGAAGGTGTGCGTAGGTAAGTACTAGGCAGTGATAAGCAAACTAGTTTCTTGCAACAACAGATAGCATTGAATAGGTTGCGTTGGCTTAAACACGAACTACGTATGTCTTGTCACCGCTTACCTATAATAAATAACAGCCAGCTGTACGCCGTAACGGCGCTTCGGTACCACGCGACCACAACCAGTTGCACGCGGGCTGAGTATACGCCTGGTTGCAAACCAGGCGCGCAAACTACTCGGCCACCGGCTTACTTAGGAGAGCTTTGTTTAGCCTGACAGGAATAGGGTGGCGCAAAGATCCAGGTGAACAAAAGTTAGTAGCGAAAAATAAAGTCACTGACGACCAAACTGGGTGCCGTCGGTCCGTCCCACCTTCTGGGCTGGAGTCCATGTGACCCAACTTGTACTTGGCTGAAGACTTTACATAACATGGCTCGTAGTCGGCCTTATTGGCGCGTCTGCTGCCGTCTTATAGTCGGAGTGCCTGTTTAAAGTGTTTGTTGCTGTGTTATCTGCAGAATAATGGCTGATTATGACGTGGGGCAGTGAAAGCCGCAACGAAGCCGTCTCGCTGATGCCGCCTCATCTTGGCACGACAGCCAGCTGTTTGTGAAGGTATGTTGTTAACACAAGGTGTAGGCGACTTGATCCTGAATGTATGCTTAGGGCATTAAGGTTTTCCGTTAAGTCCCTCTTCTCTTCCTCTTATTATTCTTTATTTCATAGGTCAACATGATTGTATGGCAGCGAAGCAGCAGTTTAAATGACTGATGTACTGCTGTTGTTGATTGATTTGATTTCCAGGCAACAATAATCAATGATGTGCGGGCTATGACGCCATCGAAGATTCCAAACCTAATTAAGTCAAGGTGTAGTCCTGTGTTGGTAGAAAATGTAATATGGCAACTAAAATAAAAATGGATCTGGATAACAAGCAAACTGTTGTGGTAAATAACTGAACTGATGGATGAATACCTACCAACGACAACGTACCTTGGATGCTGAGCAACTGACCAAGTTTAAGGGCAGCCCCACGCATCCGACACAAGGTGTCCACTATGCGCTCCAGATTTTCATCAGTAAGAAATGGATTATTGTGTTCCTCAGGGCTGTCCTTGGAAGATCCTGTAAATGAAGATTTACATTAAAACTAAAATCCTACCAGAAAACCCAACTTTGCGCTTCGTCCATTCTGTTGCGGCACTTAGGCCGAGTCCAACAACGAGATCTGAAAAGTGGTGGAGTCGTTACATTACCCACTTCCGAAACCAACAACTCGGCCGATACGCGATGAAGGGACACGGCGTTCCTTAGCTGTGTCGAGTTGCTAGTGGAGAGCTTTCGGATGGCAAAATATAACAAACCTTGGAGGTCGGATTCACTAAAGCATCCGGTAAATTCGACAACGGGAATGGATCTGCTCTTCCGTTCTGCTGATTAGGTGACTTCTCACCCCCATCAAACAGCGCATCAGGAGAAGAGAGTTTCCCAGACTCGGTTGGAGTGCTTATGGAGTGGGGTACGACCAGTGACGTATGACTTGTGTCACCAAAATCAGAAGAATTAGCCATCGATTCGGACGGATTCGAAGCAGTGTATGAAATCAAAAGTCTTCTCAGGATAATTGTATTCTGCTCACATATGAGCTTAGTCCTGTCGACAAGGTAGGAAGCACAGTTACGTATATCCGCAGTAGAGGGTGGATTTGAACACGAACTCAGACTTTCGAAGAGTGATTGTCGCACAGTAGACACACGCCACGCCCAGGAAAGTTCCTGGAGTTGCGAATCCAAAGAGGCATTCAAAATTTTGCCCAATCCCCTCAGGATGCAAGTAACTTCATGTAATCTTCTCTCCATGCATTAAATTTACCGAGTCAATAGAGAACTAGAAAAATTTATATTACGACTGTAGTACCTTTATAAGTAGAAGTCACACAAACAGAGAGAAACCTATATCTGTGAAAAGGATGACTGCAAAGTTACCTGTTGAAAAAGTGGGACAGTAGTATCTTGATAAATAGAAGTTACACAATCAGAGAGAGAGACTTATATCTGTGAAAAGGATGATTGCAAAGTTGCCTGTTGAAAAAGTGGGAACATTTAGTAGACTGATGGAAGCATCACAGTCAAATTTATGGGAAGCTAACGCACTTATCACAAGAGACGAAAAAGGGTGAGAAAGCAGAGTAATTGAAACTCGGATGTTTAGGTCCTATGAAGTATAGGGCTGATTTCGAAAAAGTAACAGACGAAGAGAGTTGTTAAAGGAACTCCCGAAAACCTCAAAAGTTCCATAAATGTGCAAAGGGTATCTAAAGAATCCGATGATGGCAACATAAAACCTCGGCAGCCTTCAAATGTCCATCCCAATGGCCGAAAGACTGTAGCACAGCAAATAAGAAGTAAATAACCGTAAACTTCTAAACCAAAGGAAGACAGATGCAAGATGTACACGTCACATGTAAGTAAGTGAGGAAAACATTTGAACATGATCATAAAACATTTGGTTGAAAGTCACATAAAAGTGCCACTTGTCACTCATAATTTTCTTACGTATAAAGGCATGAGAGTGATGGAAAATCCAAGAAAGATCATCATTCAATGCTTGCATGTGGTCATGTTTTCTTCTGATAGTGTGCACATTCGGAATACCAAACGGCAGCAAGCACCATTCAACCCGAGTTGCGCCAGACGAAATTTGCCAAGAGCTGGTTTGTAAGGCCTGAATGCCGATAAAATGCCCAAGTACTAAATTTAAATGGTCAAGCTAGTTACAAAAGTGACATCATCTTCGATCGACTATTAAACCCGAGAAGGTCCCAAGGACGTCAAGTTATCAACTTGTACTCACTGCCGTTCCCACGTGTATGAAAAGATACCCAAGAAAGGACAGTGAATACCAAGGTACTTCAGTTGGTACCTAGCGATAGATCTTCAGAGATCACACTGAGGCGTCAATTGAACTCCAACGGCTTGTGCTGATTTGAGCATGCGTCCTTTATGTCTACAATCCGACTGCCCTTGCGTGCATTGTATACTAATACTACTCCTAGTTAGATGTGACCCCAAAATAATCAATCGATGGCGTTGTAAGAGAATGAAGAAGCGCACCCAAAGGTTAAGCAGGGTTGGTGTTTGCGATCATACTGGTTGTGGTCCTCGGGATCGGCCATATCAGTAGTTGCACACATCATCGGGTATGGCCAAGTCATGAAGTCAGTGACACCTTTGAGATTGCTGTCTTAGCTCTAGCTCCAAACGGACGGCTATAATTATTGCCCACTGCTCGTAAGTTATTAACAATATCAGTACTTTTATTGAGCGACGTACCTTAAGTTAAGTGGACACATTGGACGGTGCACGAAACACAGTTAATCGATTGATCTGAACTGAACTGATGTTGATACTCCACAATAATCTGCGCAAAGCTTAAGCGACACCAGTGGATGAAACAGCAATATAACTCGTGAACTGTATCTCTAGAATAAAGCTTAAAATCCGACAGCTGTTCAGGTGAGTATTCATGACCACTAAAACCTCCGAAATACTTTTAATTCCAAATAAATTCGTCTACCATGAAAACGAAGAACGTGCTCCAAGTTATGGGATTCGTCTATAGTCGCTAATTGTTAGACGCTCCAAATCACATAACTCCATGTCGACATCAACGTCAAGTGCTCCAAAAAACGCCAATGCAACACAAGGCGCTGGATTGTCAGAAACTGGTACCAACTACAACGGAGTCGGCAACCACAACGCATAGTTTGGTCACTACGCGATTTGAGGAAAGATCCTATAACACTTCGAAACTATAACAATAGGTCACGTGTAAGCACGTTTGCGTTCAAACACGCGTGGTCAATTCGACCACAGCCAGAGCGAAATCGTGCCTGGCTCACAGGTCCGGTCCTCCCGAAGGCCAGTCAGCCACTGAAGTACGATGCATGTGAGGAGTTTGTATGCAATGAAAATGTGGTTAATACATAAGTGAACCTCGCACCAAGTGCCTTGACGCTTTGAAGATGGGGATGGCTGTTGCCAACTGCCGGTTTGAAGGCTCCTCTTCAATGACAAACTAGGACGGAAAGATTAATCCTCCTCAGTCGATTTCGTACTACAGCAAATGATATAGGAATGCCGTCTTGTCAAGAACCCACGTTTCGTTTAGACGCGGCGAGTTCATGACAAATCTTTTCTAGAGTGATAAATATGACAACTTCCCACGCTAGTTCAGAAAGCGATAGTGTAGCAACAGACTTGCTGAATTTCTCGTCAACATGTTTCGAGAAACGAACTAGTCAACGTGATTGGGAATGGGCCAACTAGCTACCTTTCCCAGCTATCGTCTCATTTACTGAGGGTCTTCGTGGACTAGCGTTTGGCTGTTAACAATAACACCAACTTTCATCATCTCACGTGACCTTATCACCCATCAATGCTCCGATTAATACCAAGACACTTAGTTAGTGAAACTCAGTATCCAACGGAACGAACCTACGTGAATCGATCACACTGATCGATGTCACACGAAGTCAGCCACAGTTCAGCGACTCAAGTTCGCCTTACAACAGACATCAAGAGCCTTGTTAAGAGTAAATTTGAGATGATTCAAATCAGCAATAAGCTCACCAACCTCACTCATCACTGACAAGTGGTGGGCCAATTCATCGTGAATTAGTTGAATTACGGGCGGAGTCCATGTGATGAGATATTCCCTTAAAAGTTGATCGCCTCGATGAAGTCACTAAAGTGATCTCTTTGCGTGTGCACACTATGGGATGCTCAGAATCCACGTACGTACCCAAATTCACGGGTAGCGTTGAACTTATGTGCACCATTTGTAGCTTGCGATATTATTGTCAATTCGGGTCCAGTACATTAGGAAATTCGATGGGTGTCAAGTGACACAATGTGGAAGCTGGTGTTGGAAAACAGTGCCGCAACTATAAAAAAACTGTGGCCAACAAAAACTAGAATCGATCGGCATCATCTGATGATTGTGTATAGACCAAAAAATGATCTTCCAGGTATTGTTCTGAACCCGATAAGCGACAGCTTCGGCATGAATATCACCAATGATCATTAAGATACCAGTATTCTCCGTCACGTGGATAAGAGGAGAGCTCCCGATAGAATCTGTTTTTGATATCCTCCAGGCTCCAGTCAGTGGGAGCATAAACCGAAACGAAAAAGTACCCTGTCGTCAGACGGTGCTTATTAACCCCAACAATGATTCGAACTCGAACCGCACCCAAGTGGCTGTTCACTGTGATACAATCCAGTAGTGTGCATTTAGCAAGTTTGTTGGGAAATTTGATCGGTATCGCCAGAGACACGAAAGGTAGTCAATGTGGATAGAACCGGAACCAAAAAAACAAAGATTCGTTACTAAGTTGTTTTTGGCATGCATGTTTCACAAAGCGCACATCAATTTTAAGAGAGTTGACAGTGAAAGTTACTGCTTTCAATGAACCAACGCGACTGAGTGTATTTAAAAATAACTATGGGAAACGAGATCACTGGTCGGAAGGACAGGTTACATGCATCGATAGCGCCACTTCCGAAATCAGCAGTCATCTCGTGCCTAATAGATTGAAAAGTGGAGTTGAAAAGGGAGAGAAAGAGAATGGTAAAGTATATCAGTGATATGCTTTCGGTGGTAAATAATACTCTAGGGATACCCATTTCGAGATAGTCTTCATTTGACCCCGCAAGTTGATAAACAAAGCAGGGTGGCGAAAGGATGCTCATTTAAGGGGCTCTTCGCAGATGGTGTGACTCAACGGTGATGCATGGTAGTGAGAAGCTGGTTGAGCTCAGAAGCGTGATTGCAGTCCCATTGGGATTTACTTGTGTCATGTCACAAACAGCTTTTAAGGAAGTGAGAAAATCTATGAAATGCGCCTAAAGGTCGATTCGACAATATTTAAACAATAAACAAAATTTGGAGTATTATTAAGTCTTTTCTTAACGCTCGCGGTATTTCCGAAGTTAACTTAATTCCTCGCCCCAGCAGACTTAAGGTAAAGAAGCGGAGCATTTAGGACGCACGGATAAGTCACCTGAGGACCATTGCAAAGAAGAAAGCAAAAATTGGGCGATCCCACTGTAACCGTTAATTCGTACCTGATTAAGACCCGTAAAATCACACAAATTACAGTTAGCGAACCTAGGATTTCGCTAAGAATATATAAGCAACAGAAATGACAAGAGGAATAAAGGGTTCAACCTCGTCCCCATGTAAGGTAACACGTGGTGTAAAGCTTCGAGAGGAAGAGAACGAGCAATTTGCGACAGTGGTCGTATTGGATTTAAATTCACTGGATGCATAGGTATCTATAATGACTAAAAGGTAGTTGTAGTAATACGCGCAGAAACAATCCCAACTGACTCAAAACACAGAGTGGATCCGAAGCCTGGGTTGTTATTTACGAGACACGAATAGTATACATTGACAAACATCAACTGTTCGCGGTCTTAGGTCAACAGCACACAGCGCCGGATTGGCTCTCAAAGAGCCAACAACCACGAAACCGCCAACATCGTTAGCAGTCAAAAGTACAAGTGACATAAATTGGACGAGGCGGCTTACAGCCAGTCAGTGGCTGAATGGAGGTGGAAAATCACAGGTGAGACCTGTGCCATGGGCATGTGTTTCGAGTGTCCGGGAAAAAGTAAGAATTGTCTAGAAAATCCACTATTCTAGCGATTAATCGATTATTAACAATTATCGCATCGAGTTCGAACGTTCTGGAATGTTCTAGTTAATGCACGTGACTAAAAACCACCTGAGGCTCCTCTACGCTAATCTTCGCTATTGCATGCTATTCAACTACGCACCGATGATGTCACCTCGATTGGTGACGAAACGTTTGCAACCAAATTGCCAAGCTCAGCGAACAGTTTAACCGTCATCCGGTAAAAATCTTTAAAATTGGTCAAACATGATTTCGTCGCAAATGCTGACATCGTCAACTGATAGAGTGAACGTTTTAAAATGGGCACTATGACAGCCGATCAATTCGAGAGCTTTGTCTTTGTACGCAGTCTTCAATCCCGTGCGGATGTCGATGTTCGAAG